AATACTACGTATGATCGACTGATAGTACAGAAATCTTAAAATTTTAAACACAAATTTTTCACTACATCCTAATCTACATCTCCAAAATTTTATAATAACTAACTTTACCTACTTTACTTAGGTTTATAAACTTGGACAAAAAACAGTATACGTGTACAAAAATGCATAGAGGACCTAACTGAAATGGTAGGTACCTACTCTGCGAATGTATTTGCTGGTAAGGTAGCTCTCTGCACAAGGATGTTTAATTAAACACACTTCATTTCAAGCACAGTCCGTACGATATTTGTTGAGATGGAATTCCAAGAAGACCACTGTGTCGCTTTCTTGGAATTAATCGCATTCGACATCCGAGGTAGAAAGACATTGGCAGAAAATTTCAGGGCACACCTCTGCTGCGGTAATCGAAACCAGCGATAAAATGACATTGGCGGAAAATTTCAAAGCACACCCCTGCCGCGGTAAATTGTTACAGTAGTTTCGATAACAGAACTTTATTGGCTTATTCTTTACTTGGAATTCTCAACAAATATCGTACGGGCTATAGTAATGGCATTAATTAACCAACAATTTCACAAGTGATGCAATTTGATACACTGAGGGACATTGATCAATATTTTTTTATTAGTGTTACAATATCACATGCTAAGGTTAATAAAAATTATTTTGCTAATACGTTTATTATATTAGTTTAATGCACCAAACAAGAGAGCGCGTTCCTATGGCGAATAGACACATGAATTTCTTTCACTAAAGGTAACTAAATAAGTTAGATAATTGACTTTAGTTGATGCCTACCTATTAACGTTAAAATAATTTACCTATGGCTGCAAGGATCGAAGTATAAATTGTATGATAGTAGTTTGATATTTTTTTTTGCGCGTAGTAATGATAGTTGACACGCAGGATGAATGCCTTGCCCGTCTTTCGTTCAAATAATGTAATATATTATATCAATAATGTAATAATAATAATAATAATAATAACCAACAAAGCTTTGACTGTGTTGTATATACGAGGTCTGTTCAGAAAATAACCGAACTTTATATTTTTTAAACTTTATTATTAATTTTTTATAGACCTTGTCCCCTTGAAAGTACTCCCCTATTCACACATTTTTCCCGGGAGTGTTTCCATTTCGTGAAGCAGTCCTGGATAGCGTCATTTAAAATCTGTGATGCATATTCTACTGATCAGGAACGAAACGTCAAGAAAGAAATCGCTGCTGTTTCTTTTATACTTTTTTTTTAACCGACCATCACACCAGAACCCAATTCCCAAAAAAATAAATATATTTTAATATCATACTATGTATCACATATTTGCAATATTTGTAGCTACTTTTGGTGTACCGCAAGGATCGGTTCTTGGTCCTATTTTCTTTAATATATTCATTAATGATATTGTAGTTGGAACTGATGTTAATTGTTTATTATATGCTGATGACATGAAGCTTTATACTAGTATAAGTAGCAGAAATTACTGTTTAAATTTACAATCTGCTTTAAATAAAATTGTTTTATTGTGCAATGTTAATAACTTACAGCTTAGTATTAAAAAGTGTTATGTCATGACCTTCTCTCTCAAACAGCAACCTGTTGTATTTGATTACTGTATTGATAATACTATTCTTACCAGGCCACATACCATCCGTGATTTAGGTGTAATATTTGAAAGTAAATTGTCTTTTTCGTACCATATTAATATGATTACGAATGAACGCTTTAAAATGCTTGGTTTTGTACTACGCTGTTCTAAGGATATTAATGATTTCTCTACTTTTAAATTAAGTATTATATTGTGTGGTCACCCTACTACAATATTTATATAACTAATATTGAAAGATTTCAGAGACGTTTCTTAAAGGCTGCAATTTTTAGAGAGGATGGCAATTATCCACCCATTGATCAATGTGATCTTTTAAACTGATTTTCATTTTGCAGTTTATAGGAACGTAGAACGATTGCACAATTGATATTTTTATATAAGTTATTACATTCTGCAATTGACTATCTTTCTTTACTTTCATTGTTAAATTTTCATATACCTCAAATCATTAAATTATCATTATCAACAGTATCCATGTTCTAGCCAAAAGGCGCATATACTAACCCAGTCATTGATAGAATTAAATTCGGTCAAAATTTCTCCCGTGCGAGTTAGATTGATCTTTGTTTTCTAATCTTTCACAGTCTCCCATAGAAAGAGCTACTAAAGCTCAAATTAGGACATCTTGTGGATCATAAGAAAAGTTGATTTAAAAAATGTTATTTGTTGAGAATGAGATTATTATGAAACACCTTTACTTATAGTATTTTTTGCTTAATAAAATACTTAAGAATCTGTATAAATAAGCATTGGCTCCATTGTAGCTTGGACTTTATTCATTTAGAAGATCAGTAAAAAAATCAAATTATGGCCAACTGTCAAAGCAGGTACTTGTTATGAATATATAACTAATTGGAAAATGGAGGGTATTCCAAAAAGCGATAAATACATACGTACAAAAGTTGGATTTATATCTTCCAAATGAAATAGCCAATTGTTTTTTATATGCACTGCTTTAAAATCTTAAGAAAATGCACTAAAGCCAGCCAAGCTGGTGCAGCCTGGCGGGATCTACCTACTACAATCGCGCTTGAAAATAACAGCCATGTATACCAACTCAGTATGAGTATATATACTCATTTGTTACACTACGTTTTAGACCCGCCAGGTTGCACCAGCCTCAGTGAAATTCGGCCTTAAAACTTTACTCTTTGCCATTTTTACTAGGTGGAAAAACAGAAAAGATAAGCGGAATAGAATGTTATGTACATCCTCTAAAAACTTGTCACTAATCAAACCTATCATCTTCTTAATATGCGTTCTATATTAAGAAGATGATAGGTTTGATTAGTGACAAGTTTTTAGAGGATGTAACTTTTAAGTAAAGTAATAGTTATAAATTTCTTCTTATGTTAAGCTTAGGTATAGTTGAAAATTTTTTTTATGAAATAGGTCAACTCCACCACAGTCGCCTCACAATCAATCCGTAGCCATTTATGCCATTTCCCGTGTTGATGCATATCTATGTTTACTATGTACCTAACATAAATTCAACCCTCTTTCAGTTTTAAACATTTTTTTCTCCAAAAACCTATTCAGCTAAATACGATATTAAAACATACACTAGAATGAGATTTTGATTGCTGAATATTTTGTTTTAGTATAAGGTGTTCTCTATTTGAGTTAAATTTTAACCATCTTTAAAGCATATGTATAGTATCTACAATTTAGAAGAAAAGTTTCCTGTACTTTCATTTTCAAATTTCTGAACCATTTCCCAAAGATCTATCTTTTTTAACGACAATCTACTGCTATTGTTTCAAGAGTTTATAAAACCAAATTAAAATCTAGTTTTTCAAAAATTAAGTGTAGAATATGGCGAAATAAACATAACGTAAATAGTGGTAAAGTGGGTATTGAATACATTTTGTATTATGAGTAAGATAATAATAATTAAGGGGGGCGTTTATATGCACAATCTTTTTTCAAGTATTTTAGAAAATCTAAACAAGTTAGAAATAATATCTCTTCACTGTACCGGTTGTATAAGTTTTCTTCAGGGTACACGACAACTAACAATATATTATACATTATACAAAATAAGGAAAAAAGCATATTTTCGTATGTTTATCTTCCTGAATTATATTATGCACGCTTGTTGAACATACAGAAAATCGCGTCACCCCGCAGAATGCTTTTAGGGAACTATTAACACATGCGTAATCACAATTATTGAGTAGGTATCTTTACAAATTTACTGGACAACACAGGAGATGTACATTTTCTGATGTTTACATGTTCTCCGTAATCTTTCAATGCGAAAAATTAAAAGTTGTTCTTCTAGCTTAGCGTTACGCCTTGTTACTCCCTGGATTTCATCATTTTCCTTAAAATAGTTGTACCTATATATTAAAAAAATATTTTTGTTCCTTTGAAATCATATAACGAGAAGTAGATAAAGACCTACTATAAAAGACCATCTCTATGTTTCGAAAACGCAGGGAGTTTAGTAAGTTTTTTTTTAATTTTCAATGTTTTTGTTAAGTGTTGATTTTTAGAAAATGATCAGATTTTTTTCTATTTCCGAATACCTAGCTTTATAATAAACCATAACCACAATAATTATTTTATAATAATGGGATATGTTTCACGACTTGAAAATTTTAAGTTAAATTTTAGCTGGAATGTTGCCTTTTTAAACTAATTTTATTTGGAGGACATTTTTAATTGTGTCAGACAAAAAGAGAAAGCCAGACGTAAAGAAAGAACATTGCGACTTTATATAAAGTATGTCGTTTCCAATTTTTTGAAAATGCAGTTAAAAATCGCAATTTAAATATCAGCCTACTATGAACATTATTAATAACTATAATAGGTAGGTACATAGGCAAATTAAATAGGTAGGTAGGCATATAAAAATAATTCAAGTTGTTTTTTTATGACGTGCATTTTTTACAGTAGATGAAGTAGATAGAGGCAGATATAATGCAAAATATTTTTTTGTTAATAGAAAAATAATAATAATAATATATAGGTATCGATGAATTGCTATAAATAAGTAAACACTTACAAATAGGTAGGTACCTAGGTAAATGACACTAAAAACTATTCTCTTCTAAAAAGAAATTACCTATAGGAAATTTCATTTAATACAAAATATGCAAATAAAAAAATACATGGTATAGAAAACACAATTTGAACGGTTCATATTTTATTTCCATTCATTTCAACTGGGAACCCGCGTTCCGACGGATCACAACTAGTCATCTGAAGCTAAAGTATAAAAGAGATTCTTCCAAAGAATTTCTTAATTCTTAATAGACATTATTTTTTTTACAAAATTTAAAATTTATTTTATTACCATTACTTTAATTTTCGTAATTCTGGACACACATGCTTGTCTATAGCAATAATAAAACCTAGCTGTTATTGCCTAATCTGTATGACCTTACCTTCAAAAACAGAATACTAGACATATCCATAAAAAACCGTAGCTACTAACCAAGAAAAACAACACTGCATAAGTGTACTTAGAACTAGTCATAAAATACCAGCGAACTTAACGATCCTTTCACGTCCACAATCAACTTCAAACTGACTCATAAAACATACTACTTGATCAACACGCTATCAACATTTAAATATAGGGAAATGTCTGCATTACCATTTAATACAGTATTACTGGTTTATTAATTTTTCCTTGCATCTTGTGAGCGTAGTTAATACTTATGTCGAGGCGTTAATGACTACACTGGAAACTAACCGTTTTGGATATAATTTTGAACTAGCGACGGTGACCTCCCTACAGCTTAGTCTGAGCCTATCAACTATGATCCTTATGATGCATTGCACGCAAGTGTAAAATCGAAGATTATAAAAACAAATCGAGCCGTTACCATCTTGATTAATTATCTTTAGATGCTGCTGCCAATGTTAATGTAGGTGTATAATTTTATTTTATACAATATACGACTCCATCCAAACAATACACTTTTTCGTTTAACTTCAGTCAAAATATTTATTTTATGACTAGTAGGTACGTGAGAAATGTAATAACTGCACGGATACAAAACACTGAGCCTTCTCTTATTTAATTTTGTTTCATCTGGAAATAATAGATAGCAAGTGAATTCCTGTATAAGAAATGTCATTTCGTACATCTAAATAAAAGTAGGTACTAAATACAATACGTTTTTTAATAAAAAACTATAATAATTATATTCTTTAAACACACCACATACCTAATTACATTCATTCGTAACAAATAGCTTTATATAAAAATGAGTCTAGTTTGCAAGAAGTGATGACGCTTTTTTCTTTATTTTTACTTAATTTTAAATGTTTTTAGATACATACATACAAAACATGTTTCACTGAAATCAAGTTAGGTAATTGATACAAAATTTCGTGAAAATTCAATTCAATATATTTTGTTTTCATCCTAAATGAAGAAAATAGCAGGGATTATAGAATTTGAATGGAAACTGCTAAATTTTTCTAATCCAACCTGAACTCGCAAATTGGATCGTTATGATAACTCGTCTCTCCAGTTAGTAAGTATCGATTAAATAAATACACATTTCTTTAATAGGTATTTTGTATCGCATAATGCGCTTACTAATGGAAATTACATGTTTGCTAATATTATTTAAAACTATTGTAAATACTTAGGAAGGATTATTGTGAGAAACTATACGGAGTGCTATAATTTGCAAATAAAAGTCTTGTGGATATGGAGCAAGACTTTAAAATAATTACCCAATAAATTTGGAGGCTAAAGAAATAATGTAGAAGATGATTATGCTGTCACAAAACAGGTGGAAAACCATCAAGAAATCAGTGCAACATCTAGATCTCATAAACCCACAGTGCTGAAGTAATAGCGCATTTAACCCTCGTAAAATCTACTAGAAGTGTGTAATACACCAAACGTCACATAAACTTGAACCGTACGACCTGAGCCAAGTTGCGACAGTGAGCCAACGAGTTAGAAAAGGATGTACAACATCATAAGCGTCAAATAGTGGTGTCATAAACTTGAAGCCAAAAAGCTGGAAGACGAAACGGACGGTTTGATCAACGACGTGCGGCTATGAGATAGGTGCTGTTCAGAGATGATAAGGAATCCCTAATTACCCAGTGGGGAAGGTCTGTTCTGTAGCAGAGAAAGAGTTTTGATAATACCCGCAATTGTCCCGCAAGTAAAGGGAATTGGCTCGTAATAGAGTGTTTACCAGCGCACAGTGGGTCGTAATTTCAACTCATTTGTGTAGAAACGGTCGCGTTATAATAACGGTTATGGTTATTGGCCACCTGTTTAGAGACTTCTGATGGACGGACGCCTCTATTCAATACTGCAGCTTTATATGCCCTTACACAATTTGAATTACTTTGTGCTATTGCATTTTTATGATGCTGGCCCCTATATCAAAGGGAAAAATAGAAAATAAAAAATTCCCCCACCTGCTTTATTGATTTAAACCAATTTAAGTACATCCACTTTTTTTAAATTCTACTAAATAAGGATCTTTCAACACGAGAATACAAGGACATTTATGAAATGCAATAAAGAAGAATGAGGGGATAACAAGAAAATGAAACGTAACTATACAGGAAAACTCTGCAACGAAATGCTAGTGTTTTATTGAGTGAATGAAACACAAAAGTAGTGTTTGAAACTGATACAGATAACTAAGTACTTACTTAGCTGTAGATTTAAATTTCTCAAAACATTTTTAGATGGGTAAGAAAAATTGTAGTATAAAAGTTATCCATAACGACGCATGCATACAGAAAAGTTAATGTTCCGGGAGGTATTTTATATGTAAGTAGACACCTCATTAACAAACGTTCAGAAAATTTCGGTTATAATTATTATGTTTTATGGTGATGTCACACAAAATCAAATACGGTCGAGACTGTACATTAAAATAAAACAATACAAATCAGTTCGGTCAATGAACGGCGTTTGCGGTAATAATAACAATTTGTTCGCACATGTTTCCAGTATACTTCTTGAGACCATGGCGGTATTTGTTTACATTAATCTGTGTTTCCTATTGTTCGTAAATTCGTTATAAATATGTTTAATTACCGCTGTCTGTCTGAAGCGTAGAAGTTTCCAACTTTATTTGGAACAAAATAAACTATAGGTAGGTACCTATTTTAATGTAAAAGTGCAAAGAAACAGTTCTAAGGAATTTTAAAATTATGCTACATCCATAGATCCACAGAACACAAATCCACTGCATTTTAAATTGTTGACTTAGGATTCTTATCCCCTTAAACCTATTTCTAAAAAAAAACCGTAGGTATATCCTTACTGATTGATTACATTAAAATATGGTTGCTGAAACTAGTGAGTAAAGGGAAATCTTTGCACAGTTTATAGTACAAGGAAAATTTTTTAAAGTACGAAAGACAAACAGGCACGTCAGTGGCGAGTGAGAAAAATCTATATTTATATTTTCGGTATTTAACATTATTTCATCGCCAGAACTTGCTTAATGTATCCATTTAAGAGAAGGTAAGTATGTAAGGATAGTTGGTATGTTTTATATGGTATGAACTTTTATTTTACATTATTTTATTATTCACCGTTTGCCATCCGCAAACAAAATAATGTAAATAGGTATATTATTTTTCCGCATTTCTCAAGATAAAAATATACATTGATATTTACCAAGTCTCTCCTTCAGAATTTTATCAGAATACCGCTATGCCGTTTTGGCAAAAATAAAGATATCATCGCCACATTTCGTTTAAATTATTTCATAATAAATTCAGTTTTACTTTTTACAAGTACCTAGCAGCTCTAGGGCTGTACGATTCTGACTAGAATTTATTCGTCTCTTCAGAGTAACAAAAGAATTATTATATGATTTAAGACGCTATGGCAATCAACCTTACTTTTTTAAATAATGGTTATCATTTTCCTTTCCCTTTTTTTATGACACCTAATAAAGTGTTATTTTAAAGGTGTTTTAATAAGTTATAATCCCACATATTTTTGTGGTCATGTGGTCACATCTCATTATTAATAAAATACCTAATTACCTATGAATAGGAAAAACTTGTATTAACTGTGATAATTTCACTGACCACAATTATATTGCTGTAACAGTTAGTATCTATTCAACAGCGGCGTACATGTATGAGAAAAGACTGTTCTGTTCATTAAAATAATAAGAGTAAAATAAAATAAATCTTTAAAACTTCATAAAAAATGGTACTTTGGCAACACAACATGAAAATGCAACTTTTTTCATAAGTGAACAAATTGTCGACGGACCCCGTTAGCGGCAAGTGACACAAATTCATCAATGAAAAAGAGTATTTTATCTCTAGTTGGACATGACATTTCTTAATGTCTTCATATGTATAGGTAACATTTTATCATTTCATTTTATTTTTTTTAAACCATTCCAAACATTCCGATGTAATTTAATGTTAATTAATAAAAAGGTTGATTCAGATTAAGTTATTTTAACATTTTATTTAAAAATGTATTATTTTCATTTTCGTATTAAGAGAAAAAAATAGCATTTACGGCTTAAGAAGAAAATATGTTATTAACTAAATCTTTATTTCGCATACCTACATGATAGAAAAAAAAGTTAATAATATAAAAATACTAAATAATAATTTAGAGCAAATGCATTCGGAATTCAAAATTATTTTCAAACGTTTTACCTATTTACCCACCATAGGTTTATCAGACAAATAATACACAGGAAGGTCCTTGCAATTTGTTACGGTTAGGAGAATACCATTAGACCCAATACGAGGGTTTTTTACCCTCTTTAATTGTATATTTTTAAGGTCGACTATGACCTAAATAGAAGTTAGTATGAATGCCCTTTTTTAGCATTTGTTCCGGTCTTTATTTAACTTCTCAGGTTTTCTTGGTAAAGTCCAATTCGTTAAATTGTTCCAAATTTTGAAATTCTTTATAGACGGAAGAATGTGCCCTAACCTTCTCTTGAGCATAAATTTTTAGTTTCATAGGTATTCAAATTTGTAGACAGACTTAGAAAATCGGTATTTAATAAAAGTAATGAATGTGCAATACCCCCAATCCCAATTGTCTTCATGTTTGCGTGTTATTACTAGCATACTATATTCTATTTCTGAATACTTAGTTTTACTCAAATTGGTTTTAAAATGTCTAGATAGTGTAACAAATTTATAAACAACTTTCATTTTATTATCCGTATCGATGTTAAAACGATCAAATAAATCAAAGTAAAAAATAATTAATACCTAATTTGATTAGATATGTAAGTAGGTAGGTACTAAATAAACTAGATGTGTAGGAATTATAAGTATTGAGAAGGGGTACCCCCAGTTTAGAATTTGATTAAGTTACATAACAAATTTTTGTAACAATTTACCTATGCAAGTGTTTTAAAACTATGTTTTTAAGGAAGAGATAGATACCTATATAGTTTTCCATTTCAGTTTAAATATTTCAAAATGATAATTCAAACGGTTCCTCTTAACACGCATTATGTGTTGTTAGTTAATAAATGTCCCATAAAAAAACCGTAAAAAAACGAAATTAGTTCTATTTAATAGTAATCAATTAAACTACCGTATAGTTAATTTATGGAAG